GCATGCACTTCAGCCGGCAGTTTTTGTGTTGCAGCTGGTTACGAGTTTCTGAGAACAAAGGGGCCGAAAGTTGCCTAGATAGAAATTATTTGGAATTCCTACGTCACCCCAAAACATGCTTTTATACTTTGGTTAGGAGCAAAAGCTAAGCTACTAACTAAGGATAAATTGAAACATTTAGATATTGACCGAAGGTGTATTTTTTGTGGAATTGCTGATGAGACTGAACGTCATTTGTTTTTCTCATGTCCGATCAGTTTGGCTATTTGGGGACAAGTCCGAGATTGGCTGGGCATTAAGCGCTTCGTGTCTACTTTGCCAAGTGCTTTGAAGTGGATTAAAAAAGAGGCTCGAAGAACGACATGGCATAGCAAAGTAAAGAAGATCGCTCTTGCTAGCACTGTTTACCACTTATAGATGGCACATAATAGGGGAATTTTTTAGGATTTAAAACCAAATGTTGAAGGCATCATTAATAGGATCAAAACACACGTATAAAAAGTTATGGTTCACATTGTATCCGTATGTTTTGATTCAATATGAGTCTTTTGCAATTGCATTTAGATCTCTTGTTTTGTTCATCTTCTCATGTTGTAATTAGCAATTAGCCCGAGTATGCCCAGTGTACTTGTCATTGGATTTAATTTTTGCCCACCCGGATATGCCCGTTGTACTTGTTATTGTTCGATCTTTTGATTTTCCGGGTATACCCAGAGTACTTGTAACTCAATTTTGATCTATGAATTTCACATTTATCGATCAAAAAAAAAAATAAAGGTCACGATTAGAGCCTTTTCAAGAGTTTCTAGCCCCTGTTCGGTACCCATTTTTTTCAAAATACATTTTTCACTCTCTTCATTTCAATCACACATTCTTCACTAAAATAATATTACATAAATCAAAAAAATCTTCTTATTTTTCAACCACACATTTTTCATCAATTTACTATTTTAAAATGCATTTTTACATAAAAATGGCTTCAAAATACCCTCTAAATATAAATACTCTCTATTTTAGACAGTTAATGCTTAAAAATAATTTTCAAAAGATTCTCTATTTTAACATTTTAAAATGAAGTGTAGGTTTAACTCTCCAAATTTAGAAAATCAAACTCACTCCGTATTCTTAATCAACAGTGATTGCATTTAGTAAGTTACAGATTTCAATATTCTACTATTTAAGTTATTCAAATCACAATTAAATTTACTGGTAATTAAGTCATTGTTTGATACTCATTATTTTCAAAATACATTTTTCTCTTTATTCTTTTTAGCCACACGTTCTTCAATAAAATAATATTACAATTAAATGTAAAGTCTTTCCTTATTATATATTCTCAATCAATCTATATTTTCAAAATACATTTTTAGCTAAAAATGAGGCTCAAATAGATGCTAACATATAAAAAATTTATATTAAATAAGATAAAGGGATAAATCAATAAATGTTTATTGAAAAAATAAAATAAAAAGTTCGTTGAAATGCATAAAAAAATTTACTCTCTAAATTTAAAAATACTCTCTATTATATATAAGACGCTCTTTATAAATAAAAAATCTACTCTTCGTAAAGAAAGTCTAAGTCCAACATTGAAAACTTGTCAAATAAGATATGGGTTATGCTGCTCTGTCAGGGTGGAGGTTCATAGACTACTCACATACGAGGAGGTATTTTTGGGTATTATTTTAATGAGGTCGGGACCCACCTCATGTGAGTAATCTGTACAAAATCTAATAGAATGACTCCGGTAGAATAGCTTTATGTATAATTTTATGGGAGTGACAGCTAATGTGCATTTAAATTTAGCGGCGCGTGTGGGCCCTACAAATAACTAAACCGCACATGAATGCCACCCTCACGAGAACAAATAAAGGCCGCCACTTGACTAAACATATATTTATTAAATTGAATTATACAAGTTAAAGATTTTCGCACCATGTACCCATATTTAGAAAACCAATTCATCTATCAACCTTGAAATAGTAAAAAATCAATGCTCGAATTAAAGATTAAAAACAAATGAAAATATATAATTTTGAGTAAACTAGTCGATTCCTAGCAACGATTCTACGAAAACCAGACACGTCCCTAATTTTTTCGACTGAACTAGTACGATCGTTAATTTTCTTGGAGTTCTTATTGTTGATAGAAATTAAATATTCACACATTTAGTGATTTAGTTGGGCAAGATCACACCCGGGATTTTCTCATCTAACTCCATTGAATGTGGGAACAAGCAATAATTCATTGTTCCTCGGATTCCAAATCTTTACCTTACTTCCAAATATGCTGATTAATTTAGTTGGCATAGTTTTCTTTCACGGATTCAACTCTTTTAAATTTGATTTTGACTCGTGATCTTGAATCACTCTTGCTACAAACCCTCATTACATAATTTCGCCCAAAAAAAGTAAAAAATATTTCTTCTGGTCTAGGTCTATGTACACACAGTAAAATAGACAATGAAAGACCTATTAATAACTTATATGTCACGTTGAATTATGTAAATTCAAGTAAATGTCTTTGAATCACGTATAGTGTGAGTGTTGAATTCAGATTATATCAATCACCGATCCTCCAACGTATTCTTAAGTGTGAAAACACGAGATATGGGAGCACCTTAATCATTAGTTAGAAATTTGGATCAATTTTAAAATTTTTGACGAAATACCGTAAGTGGAAAAATTGGATATGAAACTACAACTATATATTTTCGTGAATTGTACACAAGAAAAATGTCACAATAAAAAAAGGATTTAGAAGTCCACAATAGAACTCACTAGACCATTGACTCAACATAATTTTATTTTATTTTATTTTTTATTATTTATTTTTACCTATCAACCTTATGAAAATGTTGATCATATGCTAATCATTTGCCTGGATAGATTCGTTTAAAAGCATTTACACTTTTATATATAGTGGTGTCAAGCCGTGAAGGTGAACGATCCATTTGTACATAATTTCACAGTAATTATCGACCTGGACAAACATCTTTTTAGATTTCTAAAACTCGAGACTTTCAGACAATTCCCTTCTCTTTTTTCTTCTTTTTTTTCTTCTTTTTTTTTTTTTTTGAACTTGTCCATTGAATACAATGGTCATTGCTACAAAATTGGGAATATTTATTCAAGCATTAACAATTTACTTGTTATTTTAATGTTGACTTGTGTAACACTTTAAGCCCAAATTTGTGGGCGAATTTTAAAATTTTTGCTTTGATGGTATTATCTAGTAATTTTGTTTTCCGCAAAGCCCTTAGTCTTCTTGCTTGCATTCAATTCAGGTTTTGCGATCGACCTTTATATTTATAGTTGGCTCGATTTTGGATATAGGTCGATCGAATCAATAGGTTTTGTACATTTGCATTTAAAACAAACACGATAATTATGCTTGAGGCGGGCCCTCGTTTTATCCACTCTTCTCTAGACCAGACAATGAAACAATGAGTTCGAGTTTGGTCGAGGATAGACTCTGGATCTTTGCTCCAGTTCCTTTTCTTGGGGATATTGCTATTTATTGTTGTAAAACCGTAGAGTGGTGGCCTCACTGCAATTTGTTAAATTATAGACATGATTTTGTGCCGCCAACCATTAAGGAGTTTTGGTACACAAACAGGGTGAATGACAAGATTCAAAAAATCAGGAAAACATATATCAATATTTCATTGGACAGTTTGAAAAAAAAAATTCACCTGTCAAAAACCCTGTCCCTCAACCTTGTTCAAGCAGCATAAGTGACCCATTAAGTTCGCTCTTGTGTTTTTTCGTGTAAATATAATTGTAATATTAAAAATACCCTGATAGAAAACAATAGTGAAACAAACCTAAAAAATTATTTGAAACTTCTTTTCAAAATTGCCCAACCCCCTTCACCCACCTAGCTCGTGTGGTCGCACCGTGTCAGACCTCCATCTCTGCAACCCCAACTTCTGGTCGGGTCCCTACACTTGTCAATTAATTCCTACTAACTTACATCGAACTTGGCCACCCCACACTTCGTCAACTAACCGTACCCGTCACCCTAATCTCTTATCCTTTTTTTCTTCAATCCAAATTTTCGAATCACATTTTTATCAACGCACTTATAAGATTTTAATAGTTGTCAAAGATAAGATATCTGAAGTCAAAAGTCAAAATAACAATATGGTCGTTCAACCTCAACCACCAACCCAACAATCGATAGGGTCGGATGATGTGTTGGGGTCATTATGAGTTGTGGGTGCTTGACAGCTAAATCGCATTCCACAACTTGCATTCCTCATTTCACGTTAGCAAGAAGGATGAGAAGAGGACTTAGAGGAGACAGCAGCACATGGAAAGTATTGATCATGATAATAACATGGACTTCTAGTTCCCACCTAAATTAGGAAACCGTTAGCTGCTTATAAAGGGAAAAAAAATATATATACAAAAATCATGTTAAGCCACGTCACTCTCAAATTAGAGAGTGAATCATTAAAATGATAGAAGTCGAATGGATTAAAGGTCTAGTCCTGGTCACGTCACTCGACGCTAACTAGTGACGTGACACTAACTAGCTAACTAATTTTCAGGCGGGACATTTAAAGCTAGATCTTACAGTAATAAATCATCACTCTGACACAACGTCACCATGGTTAATCAAATAGAGATCTCAATTCGACGCCAATATTGTCGTAAACACTTCTATAAGCTATTGCGATCATTGAAAGTCAGACCTCTCTCAGTCTGGGAAAGCCTTACGGAAGAGGAACCCAGTACAAATACAATCAAGTCATAAGCTTTGGACATCCAAGGAGTAAGTCTACGACATATCGCGAGAGCTTAACAAGAAGTCTACCATTGGAAAATATCTCTCTACATATTATCAATGGCTTTCCACATTGTATTCAATAACAAACCCTATGGATTGAATTATTCTTTGTAATATTTTTTACATAACTATTTTAATTTCAACATTGTAAATAAGGCCAACTGAAAATGTAAAATAAATAGGAGGCTCCTATGAAATACCACAAGTTCAGGACAGCACGCGTGAATTTGATATAAACGACTTAATATGCCAGGAAATTGCATTAGCTGCTAAAAGAACATTGTCGATTGATAAGGGCATATGGAGAAACAAGTGCAAAGGCAGCATCAGCTAAAGAAACAATCAAATGATTTTGGTGCAAATATACAATACTCGGTCCAAGTAGAAGGTTTCAACAGGATAGCTCATTTGTCAAAAGGAACTGTCGGTCCACCATGACTCTCTCTTTACAACGCGAACATAAATGTCTTTCAATGGCGTATTGAGTACAATCATTGCTAGTCGAGGATGATGGGCCCTAAGGAAAGGAGGTTATGACTAATGATAAAAGATTGCACCAAGAATGTTTCTTAGTCATTTCCTCAAAAAGCAACTTCTTGTGCCATTCAAGCAAGAACCAGGCCTTGTAAACCAAGAATGCTACAAAGATCACTGGCCCATGGTAGCTGGCAGAGCAATTCTGCAAGTAGACTAATCAACTAAGAAGTCCTGTGCTTCATGGAACAACACGAGGAGCATAATCAACTGCAGATACACAAAGACATGATCATAAGACAGTACAATACTGACGGGAGGAAAAAAAGAAAAAGAAGCAAAAATGTACCTCTGCTTTTGGTACATTCTTCTGTAAATTCTAGCACCTTCAAATTCAGCATGGATCTCACGCTCCGTCCTTATTCCCAATGGATTATTCAACAACCATCCCTCAGTGTCACAAAGCATATTAGTGTAAATACTGTTAACATGTACAAGTTTATCTAACTTAGCATCAAAATAGTTCCTCATGTCAATTGCCACTTCAAGGACATCTGATTGAATGAAGACCTGCCAACAACTATAAAGCTTAAGATAAAACGAACAATATCTTTTTCATTATAAACCTTTTAATATGTAGAGGTATAGATGGGACATCCCTCTCAATAACCATCGTATATGACTAGCTGCTAGTCTTGTTATTTCTTGTCATAAAGAAGGCCAGGAAAAAAAGGAGGAAACAAAATAATAATAATAATGATGAAAGGGAGAAGTTGTTTCCGATTTATAGATCTGCCACATCCTTCCAACTTTCTTCTGTATCAAAAAGTTGAGCTGTTGTGGCACATCCCCAAGTTCATGGCATGACAATAAGGTAACTGACAGATACTTCTTGTCGAAGTTGAACGAACACTGCTCATGTTCATCTTGTGTAATATGTGTTGTGCATGTGGCCCATATAGAGTGGAACACAGGCCCTGGATCAAATGGGCCGATGCCGGCGCGGAGCGCATCAAACGGAACGAAGCAGTGCGACGACATCGACCTTGCGCGGGTTTAATTCACTGTCTGGTTGTTAGGGACGTTGAATGGGTTGGGGGTGCGAGGGCAACGTGGGGCGCGGTACGGTACAGGAGTATTTTCTGTACGGGCCTTAAAGTTTTATATGAGCCCAGATTAGGGTTAGTATAAATAATATGTTGTAACCCTATTTTTCACATTTGAATAAAGAAATATCTGCTTCGCTCTCGTGGACGTAGGCACACTGTGGAACCACGTAAAATTCTTGTGTTGATTATCGTTTTCATCTCTTTAATATTGCGCATAAAATCCAACAACTGGTATCAGAGTTAGGTTCAGATGGCGAGTTTTTCGATTGCAAAATTTGATGTGATGAAGTTTGACGGATCTGGGAACTTCGTATTATGGCAGCGAAGGGTGAAGGATTTGTTGGCGCAGCAAGGGATGATGAAGGCACTATCTAGGAAGAAACCAAAGGGTACGTCAAATGCCGATTGGGAAGAGCTCGAGGCGCGAGCAGTTGGTACAATTCGGCTTTGCTTGGCGGAAGAAATCATGTATCACGTCATGGATGTTGAGTCTCCGGCGGAGGTTTGGGAGAAATTGGAGAGTATTTATATGTCGAAATCTCTCACAAACAAGCTGCATCTAAAGCAGCGATTGTACGGGCTGAAGATGTTGGAGGGTACGGATCTGATTCAACACACCAATGTGTTCAATCAAATCATCAGCGATCTATTGCGACTTGAAATCAAGTTTGATGATGAAGACAAAGCAATGATTTTGTTGTGCTCACTTCCTCCTTCGTATGACCATTTGGTGACCACGTTGACGTGGGGTAAAGAGACTCTCGAATTGAAAAAAGTCACATCAGCCCTGTTAGCCTACAACCAGCGGAAACTGCGTACTGATGAAACTTCACAGGGTGAAGGGTTAATCATAAAGGGCTACCAGAATCGTGGGAGAAGGAAGGACAGGGGTGTTTCTTTTAGAGGGAACACAAAATCAAAATCTAGAAATCAAAATAATAAAAACGTGAAGTGCTACAAATGCAATTAGATGGACCACTTTAAGAGAAATTGTCCGAATAAGAAGCAGAGTGATGAAAGGAAAGGTGATGGGTCCTCAAACTCAGCTAGTGTTGCAAAAGGAGACTCGGATTCTGGAGATGGAGACATGTTATCAGTCTCTGCAGGTAATTTTGTAAAATTAAATGACTGTTGGGTACTTGATTCAACATGTTCATATCACATGTGTCCTCAATGGGATTGGTTTAATTCATATCATTCTGGTAATTTTGGATCTGTTCTGATGGGTAATGATGCATCATGTAAGGTCATTGGAATGGGATCCATAAAATTTAAAATGTTCGATGGTGTGATAAGGACCTTGGAAAATGTTAGGCATGTACCTGAGTTGAAAAAGAATCCAATTTCTTTAGGCACTTTAGACACAAATGGTTACTCTTATAAGTCAGAGTGTGGGGCTCTAACAGTAAAGAAATGGGCTATGATTGTGATGAAGGGTCAGAAATTGGTAGGGAATATCTACAAACTACTCGGGGATACAGTTGTAGGTGGAGTTGCTACAGCAAAATCTGAGTCAGATGAAACTCTTCTATGACATATGCGACTGGAGCATATAGGAGAACGTGGCATGGTTGAGCTTCACAAGAGGAATTTGTTGAAGGGGGTAAAATCATGCAAGCTGAATTTCTGCAAGTTCTGTGCACTTGAAAAACAGTCTAGAGTACGCTTCAAGATGGAAAAGCAAAAGACAGAGGGCATTCTTGATTACGTGCACTCAGATGTTTGGGGACCAGTGAGGGAGTTGTCCAAAGGTGGATTTCAGTATTTTATTACTTTCATTGATGACTTCTCAGAAAAGTTTGGGTATATTTCATGAAGCACAAGCCTGAAACCTTTGCCAAGTTCAAATTATGGAAAGCAGAAGAAGAGAACCAGATTGGCAGAAAAATTAAGTATCTGAGGACAGATAAC